CCATCAGATTTATTGGAAATCACAAACTTTTGGAGTACTGCTGGTTTGTCAGATGATGTGGAGGAAAGCACACAGGCACAGAATTTCTAGTCAGAGAGATTAAAAGATCATACAAGTGGTGTGAATGGTGTGCTTCTTTTCACCTGACGAAGTAGCAGTGCTTCGAAAGCTTGTGTTTCAAATAAGCCTGTTGGACTCTAACCCGGTGTCGTGTGATCTCTGACCTACTCAAAAGTTCTGGAACACCCTTCCTAGTTGCATTGCATGTCTACCTACAGCGGATGGACTGCAATCATTCAAGAAGGCAGCTCGCCATCACTGTCTCAAAGGAAATTAAAGACAGGCAATAAATGCTTGCCCTGCGTGTGACATCCACGTTGCATGAATAGAAGAAAAACTATTGTGTTTAGTGTATAATTGTGAATTGTGTTATTAATGGACGATCTACAGCTCATGAGTAGGAAAAAAGTTTAAAGTGTGCCAGTTGTTGTTAAGGTCCAAAGAATGGGCTGATGGGCCTGGGTTTACTTTCCATTGAACAATGGGTCTACCTCCAGGCCACAGGTGTTGATCTAGACAGATGTCACTGGCTGGTCCAGGATTAATTGCTCATCTCTAATTGTCCTGGGGAAGATGTTAATGAGCTGCAAGTATTGTAAGTAGGTACACCCACTGTTGTTACAGACATTGGAGACTGAAGCCTAATAGTGGAATTTAAATTTGCAATTTTATCTCCTGAACCACCTTCACTTAAATCTGTAAGTGCTATAGTTTATTTCATGGCAATGGAGGAATGCGACTGCTGAATTTGCCTTTAATCTGGATTATGTGCTGCCGGAGCCGCTGTTTTGTCATCTGTTTCTTCCCAGTGCATGGTTTTCGTGAGTGTGGCACCATGCTGCAACCTGCTGGCTGTTGACAGGTACAACAGCTGTGCTTTTCAGCTGTGATCATACTCCTTTGTTACTCTGCAGTGGAATTAATTAAAACCAGTCTTTGTTCAGTAATCTCGTAATACAGTAACTGGTTAATGACTCTGGATTTGATGTGATTGAGACATGAGCTGTATACTAGTGAAGGACACCTATCAAGGCAACCTCATTGAAGTCGTCAGGGGTAAGAAGAGAATTAACAAAACTGATCCAGGTAAATTGTTCACTGTTGCAAATGGTTTACATAAAGGTGTGTGTGGTAGGGCTGTGGTATGGTGGCAGAAGCTCAAAATGTGGAAGTTCGTAAGGGGGCGTATTGGGTTAGGTTAGGTGTTGGAAAGTATTAATTAATCTTCATAGGACAGTATGGATGGAAGCAACAGATAATTGGTAGTGTTCCTTGATAGAAAAGGTAACTCACTGGCTGGATCTTTGAAAAACTGATGGGATGTTAGACCTTCCCAGAAAGAATTTTGTGAACAACATTTTTGGCTGCTACAGTAATCAATGAACCTGGTGGCTGTGTGGGGAGTGAAAGGGCAATGAAGACTGGGAGAAGAAAGTGGCAGATGAGAAAGCATTGTCTGCAGGAGATTCACATTGGGCTCTGTTAAATAGAGAGAAGGCTATTGTCTTTGAGTTATGATCAGGGATGGGAAACCAGGGGAGAATAATCTTTTCTCCGCTTGTCTATCCAAACTCCTGGAGGAAGGGGCATGAAGACTGACCCATATGACACACAAAGAGCAAAGACCAAGGTCATGGTTTCAGTTATGTGGTAACTGTTTTCTAAAATTTAACATTGCTCTGACGTTTTTTGCATGTATATCGAATGTGGCAAGGTCCTCTTTTTTCCTCAGTTCACGTTCACAATTTCAACTAAGTCTGTCATTTCAGTAGATGTGGATGTTATTGCTTGAAAAGCTAGATGACTGTTTTTTGGAAGTCACATTGAAGAGTGAGGGAAACAGCAAAAAAATCTCAGGCCAGAATTCTGCCCCATTACTTTTGGATGAGGATGGAATTAACCAGTACCTTCAGCAAAGCCAATGCAAATATCTCACCAATGCTTCACTTAATCCCTTGGGATTCTGGCCAGATTTATTTTTAATTCATGGGATTTGAGTGATCCCCAATTATCTTTGAATGTGGACAGTATTCCCTCGCACTCCTCTGACTTGTCTCTTCGATAGTGGTCAGGCTTTGGGGAGTTTCGGGGGTGGGGGTGTGGAGGTGAGTTACTTGTTGCAGGATTCCTAGCCTTTGAAGATAATTCAGATCAAGACAGTTTTCAAATACAATGTAGCAAGGTTCATGACACCGTATGCTGTAAAGATTAATGGAGCAAAATACTTGGTTTTGAAAACAAAAGAACAGTTACAGCTCTTAAACTTTAGATCTAAAAGTCTTGGAGAACATTGTTTCTACTCTCTGTTTCACTTGTAAACATGCAGTTAAAAACAGCAACTTGAGAGGGATTGGGATCCTCCTCCCCACTTCTCTCTCAAGTCTGATCAGTTTACTCATGGCTGGAAGAATAAACTGACTTGCAATATGCATTACCCAAGGCCTTTTTCAATTTGGTTCATTGATCAATGATTGACTTCAGATTCTTTTATTGAAACAGCAAGTGTCAACTTTCTGAGGTATTTTTGGTAGATTTGTCATGATGTCTGATGTCCCAAACACCCGCTGAAATCTGATGTGGAGCTGGATGAGCACAGCAGACCAGGCAGCATCAGAGGAACAGGAAAGCTGACGTTTCGGTTTTGACCCTTCTTCAGAAATTTCTGACCTGAAACGTCAACTTTCCTGCTCCTCTGCTGCCTGGCCTGCTGTGTTCATCCTGCTCTACACCTTGTCTCAGCTTCTCCAGCATCGGCAGTTCCTACTATCTCTGAAATCTGATGTTGTCTTTTAATTGTTTGGTATGTTGTTTCTTCCCTTGACATCAAGCATCTGTTGTGGTGAACTGAAGTTAACTTGAAATTCACGTTCTTTACTCTTAAAAAAAGAAACATTGTTAGTACAGCACATTGAATCACCTCAAGGTGTCTTAATGTGCTCCAAAGTCAAGCATTGTAATGTAGGTGAAGTGGTATGCTGTGGAATCTGTCTAGACTGAATCATCACTGACCTTCCCTTTAGTTCACTTTGGGGTTCATTTGTGACATCATTTTTGTTTGATATCTGCCAGGCCTTTGATTCTAAATAACCATGTTTAGAATCATGACTAAATACAGTGTGGTGATTGGTTCTTTGGCTGCCTGGTAACTGCTATGTAATTGATTAATCTCGTCAAGGTGGATCAGGTGATAAATTATATCCTAATTGTACAACGTGATGAAGGAAGCTGCTTATCATTTAGATCATCAATATCCTCAAGAGCATCGACCAATCAACTACTGCTTTATATCTGAAAGCAGTGTCCAGTCTGTACATAGCAAAGTTACATAGCAGAGTGTAACCAGTTAATTGGTGGACTGAGTGAAGCTGACTGGCCTGTTCCTATTGTTGGTGCTGATTGAAACAAGAATATTGGCTCATTTGAATAGAAGCAATATACAAGGATACTGGAAAATGTAGAAGAGTGGCAGTGAACCAAAATGCTAATTTGGACAGCTGGTACAGATATAATGGATTGAATGGTCATCTCCTGTGCCGTAACACTTCTGTGATTTTCAGAGAATGCTTCTACTTTTCTCTTAGTGCCATGAGATTTCCTTCCACCTGCACCTGAACCAACAAATGAAGCCTCAGTCAGATAAACTGCATCTATGATATTCCCTCAGTACTTTGTTAGACTGTCAGACAAAATTGTGTCATGGATAGAAGCTTAACTCTGCTACATTCTGTCTCAGTTGCTAGTGTGCTACCAGCTGAGCTGACACTTTCAACTAAAGTGGTAGTGTTGAAGCATTGATGAGATCTGCTGGTGGAGTAAGGCATGCAGCTAGAGAATAAATTGTTGATCAGCACCACAGTTGGCAGGCTCAATCACTGTACTTGGTGATGTTACACATTGGTGACAGACAGCCGATCCAAATCAGCCTTTCTACCTCTCTGTTCACGACACACAGTAAAATTGAAACCTGCAAAGACCCTCAATCTGGCCCTTCACCAGACTTTTTGAATAATCTATCCCAGACTCTGAATAATCAATTCTAGACAGTGGGTCTATAGCTTAAACAAAAGATTGAGCAATTTACAAACAATACAGTGACTTTAGCAGAGGGAAATTAACTAATTGTTAACTCAGTTCTGAGGAAGGGTCACCGGATCCGAAATGTTAGCTTTGTTTTTTCCTTCACAGATGCTGCCAGACCTGCTGAGCTTTTCCAGCAACTTTGTTTCTTTTTTTTCCTGATTTACAGCATCTGCAGTTCTTCTGGTTTTTAACCTTTGTTTTCAGCCCCATTCATACAAAAGACAAATAATTAAGCACAGTTAAGGGATAAATAAAATAACAAAACTGGCTAGACTGTGAAAACCATTTAGTGTTGTTCCCCAGGCTTACGATTTTTCAGGTTGACATTTCTAAGAAAGTTGATCAGGGCCATCTTTTTAGCTTACTCTGAAGTCAGTAATATATAAACTTAATTTCTGTTCTCTGAACTTACAATAGGTGATAATGGGAGGTTAGGCAGGGTGCTTCCAAAACTACATGCTGTAGCGTCAAGAGCAAAACATCTCACAGAAAACACAATCCAACATCAAGTTCAAACTCTGGCCTCTCCCTGTCAGACTGGCCACCTCTTCTCGAGATCCGTCTTACCATTCAACATTTGTTGGACAATGAGGTCTCCCCCCAGACTTCCTGGAACCAATTTCCAAGCAGAAAGCTTGTTTGTTCGCTCCTCTTTTGTTTTTTTTCCCCAAACACAACCTGCTGTCCATAGTGGAAAGGTTGTTTTCAGCTCCATCCTCCCTTCACAGCTCCAAACCAAAATTGATAACAAGGATGAAATGAAAACTTAGCGAGGCTGCAAACATTGATCAATCAGTAAATGTGCATCAAAGTTTGGTAACAGCAACGCTAACTGCTCTTTCTTTTTGTTTCCTGTTCAGAGCTTCTCTGATGGTGCACTGGATGAAGAGGGTGGAGTTCATGATGGGTGGGAGGAAGGAGAGAATGAAGAAATGGATGAAAGAGAACAGGAAGATCTGAGTGACACAGTGGAGGGGATTGAGGACGATTGTGGAGAATCGTATTATTATTTTGTTGCGGACAAGGAGTGGATTGACCTTGTTCAGGAAGCACAGGGTAGACATCTAGTCCAACGTGTGAAACCTAAGGTAAGAGTTAGCAATTAAAGACTGTCAATGTATTTACTGGATTATTCATCTCTGCTTGATTTTTATCTTTTGGTAGCATTTTTGTGATAAGAAATTGTGACACTGTGACTTTATGAAATTGATTTGATTTTATTGTTACGTATACTGAGATACAGTGAAGAGTATTGTTTTGCATGCTTTCCAGACAAATCATACTTCGCATAAGTGCATAGGATAATAGGATAGAATGCAGAATATGCAGTTAGAGCTACAGAGACTTTTTTGTTGACTTTTGGTTTTTAAGAGAGCTGAGCTGTACTGGTCTCATTTGCCACTATAATTGACCTACCCATCAGATATTGGGCAAACTATAAAGCTGGAGAAGCAATTCAATGTTGTCAGGTTTGCATCTTCTGAAGTGATTAGATGTGTGCTGATTTGATCTTTTCAAAAGGAAAAGAAATGCTGAAGGAGTGCTGCCATTCCTGTGGAAGAGATGAGCGTGAGACATGGAATCCTGAGTCTTGATTCCAGATCTCTGGTGATGGTCAAAGAAGGAACAGCACTTGAGAATAAAATTAGGTGCTCTGAACAACCAGGGAGGAAAGCTTTCATTCATCTCTCGTGATGGAGACAGTCACGAAAGAAATAGATTTCTTTAGCGTAAAGGTATCCAGGGGTATGGAGAGAGCAGGTATAAGACCTTGAAATTAAGGATCAGCCATGATCATGTTGCACAGTAGAGTGTGCTTAGCGAGCTGAATGACCAATTCTTGCCCCTATTATCTGTCATTTCCCAGACCTTGGATACCACGACGATGGCCTAGTGGTATTATCGTTGGACTGTTAATCCAGAGACCTAGATAATGTTCTGGGGTCCTGGGTTCGAATCCCACCACGGCAGATGGTGGAATCTGAATTCACAAAATATCCGAAATTAAGAGTCTAATGAAGACCATCAATCCATTGTCGATTGTCGGAAAAACCCATCTGCTTCACTCATGTCCTTTTCGGGAAGGAAACTGCCATCCTTACCTGGTCTGGCCTTCATGTGACTCCAGACCCACAGCAATGTGGCTGACTCTGAACTGCACTCTAGGCAATTAGGGATGGGCAATAAATGCTGATCCCATTAATGAATAAATAATAAGAAATAAATTTGAGGCCAGCCTGAAAAGTGTTGGTCTATTCTATTCTGGAAGTAACATAAATCCTGACTGAGGGCTTTAGCAGGTGAGCTGAGGAAGGGACAGAGTCTGGCAGGTGATGATATATGCTAGGAAGCTCCACTAGAGATCTGATCTAAATCTAAGTTGTGAACAGTCTACCTCAGTCTCTGGTTTCTGCCCTTGAGAGGAGAGGGAGTTTTTGTTCTTCACTGCATTGAGCATGAACAGAAATTTCCTCCTATTCAATGACGGAAGAGCCCACATATTAGTGCAACAAAATAGGTCCAAGCATTTGCAGCAACCTTTAACCAGAAGTGCCGGATGGATGATCCATCTCGGCGGCCTCCAGTGGTCCCCAGCGTCCAGTCTCCAGCCAATTCAATTCACACCACATGATATTGAGAAACAGTTGGAGGCACTGGATATTGCAAAGGCTACGGACCTGATAACATTCGGCAATAGTACTGAAGACTTGTGCTCCATAATTTGTTGCTCTTCCAGCCACGTGTTTCAGTACAGTTAGAACACTGGAATCTACCTAACAATGTGGAAAATTGCCCACATATGTCCTGTAAACAAAAATCAGAACAAATCCAACCAGGCTAATCTCTGACCCATCAGTCTGCTAAAAAATCATTAGTAAAGTGATGAAAGTGTCACTGATATTGCTATCAAGCAGCACCTGCTCAGTGATGCCCATTTTGGATTCTTTCGGGGCCACTCAGCTCCCGACCTCATGACCGTCTTGATTCAAACATGGACAAAAGAGCTGAATTTGACGTGAGGCGAGAGGGACAGCCCTTGACATCAAGGCCATGTTTGTCCGAGTGTAACATTGAGGAGCTTTAGCAAAACTGGAATCAATGGGTATCAGGGGCAAACTGTCTGGTTACACTAATACCTGGAAAGTGGAAAGATGGTTATGGTCAATCATCCCAGCTCCAGGACATCTCTGCAGCAGTTCCTCGGGGTAGTGTCTGAGGCCCCATCTGTCTTCAGCTGCTTCATCAGTGACCGTCCCTCCATCATAAAGTAGGGAGTGGGGATGTTCACTTCATGATTGCACAATGTTTATCACCATTTGCGACTCAGATCTGAAACAGTCCATGTTCAAATGCAATAAGACCTGGACAATATCCAGGCTTGAACTAACAAGTAGCAAATAACATTCACAACCCACGAATGCCAGGCAATGACCATCTCTGAGGTAATCACTGCCCCTTGACATTTAGTTCTGTTACCATTGAATTCCCCACTATTAACATCCTAGGGGTAACTATTGACCAGAAACTCAGCTGGACTCACCATATAAATACAGTGGCTTTATGTTCAGGTCACAGGAGTATTGTGTTGAGTAACTGAACTCCTGAGTCCACAAAGCCTGTCTACCATTTACAAGGCACATGTCAGGAGTATGATGGCGTACTCACCATTTTCCTGGATGAGTGCGGCCCCAACAGCACTCACGAAGCTTGACATTATCCAGGACAAAGCAGCCCACTTGATTAGCACTAGCTCAGTAGCAGCATTGCAAAATATTCACCGAATATTTTTATGAAGTACTTTCCAAATCCACTTCCATCTAGAAGGATAAGGGCAACAGATTCATGGCAACCACCACCTGCAATTTCCTCTCCAAGCCACTCCCCATCCTGACTTGGAAATATATTGCCATTGCTTCTGTGTTGCTGGGTCAGAATCCTGGAATTCCGTCTAAGCGTATTGTGGGTCAACCCACAGCAAGTGGACTGCAACGGCTCAGGAAGGCAGCTCACCACCATCTTCGCAACTAGGAACAGGCAATAAATGCTAGTGAGCCAGTGATGCCCGCATCCTGTGAGTGGAAAAAAAAATTTTAGTGCTGATGGATTGATAATTTAGCAAGGTTCACAGAGTACTACAGCAGCTTGCTCAGGCTGCTCTGTTGCCTCTTGAGGAACAAAGGCAGTGGGTGTAGGGGACATAATCTCTGAGTTTTCCCTCGAGGCACACACCATCCTGACATGGGTATATATCCTAGATGTGTCTACAACACATGGACTGCGGCCATTTAAGGAGGAAGTTCTACATCACCTTCCCATTAAGGATATGCAATAACTGCTGCCCCAGTTTACATGGATGGTGGAGTTAAAGGTTATTTTTTGAGGAAAGTGTGTGATGGCAGATTTGAAGATGGGGATAGAACCATTAACAGCATCAGGTCATAGACCAGGAAAGGAGGCTGATCTTCAAATGATAATGGAAATTGCACAACTAATTTGAAAATTGGTGATAGAAACGGAACATGTATTCACAGTGGGGTCAGTGGTGAAAAATCTGAACTATTTTAAAGGGAGAAATGGTTGCGTTGGTGATTTTAGTGGGTACAGTGTCTGTGGTCTTCACTGCCTGCAATTCTAATGGTCATACTGCTTTCAGTGCACTGTGGTGATTCCATTGGCTGTACATGAATATTGTTGTCATGGAGACAGTACCCCACTGCAGGGCACTTAACTCTAATGAATCTTCACCTAGGATTCACTGATAATCAGTTCAATACTAGAGTAGTCCACATTGACGGTATAATTGGCAGCTTGAGCATGGAAAGAATTTATTAATGCGAAGGAAAAAGTCAAACTTGCTGTCTATTTTAAATAATTTTCCTATTAATGTGCCCGATGAGTTTGAGCACCAGCACTGTGGGAAGCATGTACCTTTGAGGCCCCAGCAGTATCTGTTTAGAGGATGAATTAATGAAATTCTAATATCACTGCAACCAGCTGGGTGCAGGGTACCTTGTAGAGTGTACAGAGAAATTACTGAACTTCAGTGCAGTTTATAATGCAATATTTACCCTTTGCCTCCTCAACAGTGAAAGTTATCTCCGAATGTGTTTGGAATCTTGATCACTAGGCTATTTGGGCTGAGGAACGGCCGATGAAGTTTAATTTGGATAAATGCGAGGTGTTGCATTTTGGTAAGGCAAACAAAGGCAGGACTTGCACAGTTAATGGTAAGACCTTGGGGAGTGTTGTCAAACAGAGACACTTAGGGGTTCAGGTACATGATTCCTTAAAAGTTGCGTCACAGGTAGACAGGGTGGTGAAGAAGGCATTTGGCCCACTTGCCTTCATTGCTCAGACCATTGAGTACGGGAGTTGGGAAGTCATGTGCAGGACATTGGTGAGGCCACTTTTGGAGTACTGTGTATAGTTCTGGTCGCCCTGCTACAGGAAGGATATTATTAAATTGGAAAGGATGCAGCAAAGATTTCAAGGATGTTACCGGGAATGGAGGGCTTGAGTTTTAAGGAGAGGCTGGATAGGTTTGGACTCTTTTTCACTGGAGCGTAGGAAGTTGAGGAGTGACCTTCTACAGGTTTCTCAAATCATGAGCGGTATAGATAAGGTGAATGGCAAAGGTCTTTTTCCGAGGGTAAGGGAATTCAAAACTAGGGGGCATAATTTTAAGGTGAGAGGAAAAAGACTTAAAAGTGACCTGAGGGGCAACTTTTTCACACCACAGGCTGGTTCTTACACGGCGTTAACTGCCAGAGGAAGTGAGAGATGCTAGTACAGTTGCAACATTTAAATGACATTTGGACAAGTACGTGAAGAGGAAAGATTTATAGGAATGTGGGCAAAACACAAGCAGATGGGGCTAGTTTACTTGGGGAAACCTTTTTGACGAGTTGGACTGATAGGTCTGTTTATGTGCTGGATGACTCTCCTTCCTCAAGCTGCAGAACTGGCCATTATCTGCCCTGCTTTACCTCATTTTAAGACAGTGCTGCTCTTGACCTACCTGATATTGAGTTTAATGGACTGACTTTTCTTTTTCAATGCAAGAATTTTGTTTTGCTCTTTCCTTTCT